TGATTGTCTTGTCCAAATGATCGGAAAAGGTTGAAGTTTTTGAGAGCTCAAGAGCGGGTGAGAAAGGATGTTGAATGAGAATTTGAAGCTTTGAAAAAACGTTAGCATATTCTTAAATATCCCACACCGTATATGGAGGAGAAGAAAATGAGCGAGGTGATGTATGCTTATATCATATTGCATAATATGATTCTCGAAGACGAAGAAAATGCAATATGTGAGTATAACGAAAATGAGATTGTTCAACCGACACAAGCTTTTGAGGTTGGAAGCGTATAGTACATGTCGAAGAGGGCACTAGTTAATGATGTTGAGACACATCATATTATTCGTAGGACTTGACGAAACATATTTAAAATATCAACCACATCGATCTTAATATGGAACCGGTCGATGATTTGGAAGGTCAATTTTCCGATGGAGATGTTATTTAGGTCTATCTAGGTTTGGTAATTTTAGTTTGTATGTTTTTAATTTCAAATTCTATTTTTTTTTTGGTGTGTTTGTTGTTATTTTGAATTTCTATGTTTTTATTTTAAGTTTAATGAACTTTTATTTTTTAAATATTGTTATGTTTGAAAGATTTATTTTCTATATCTAAAAAAAATAGATACCATGGCAAGTATGACAACCCGTGCCAACCAAATGATAACTTTTTGTAAAAATGTGGCTAGTGTGATGTGGCGCCTACATCGACCGTAGCAAGTGTGACACCACACCCACCAGCCTTATACAAAGACCAAACATGTGATTTAAAAGTATTGTGGCCAAAGCCTAAAAATTGTTTTTTATTATATATAATAATTAAAAGACAAAACTACAAAAATAATCTCATTGTTTATCAAATGTCAAAAACTTAATCTCGCTCTTCGAACTTGGGACCTCCTCCCCCTCTCCCTCATCAGCCAAAGTCTTTCCAAAAACTAAATAATATTATCTAAAATCGTAAAAACTTTAACAACAAAAAAAAATAAAAACATATTCACAAAAAATCTTTTTTTGATAAAACAATATATTTTTTAGTGTATTGTAAAATAAATACTTTTTACCAACTATTTATATATTTTTTACGTATTCTTTTTATGTAAAATATATTTTTTTTACGTTTTTACAAACAATTTATATATTTTTTACGTATTTATTTTGTGTAAAATATTTTTTTTTTTATTTTTAAAAAATATGTTTTTGTATAATATGTTATTAAATTGCAATGATCCTAAAACATATTTTAACGTTTCATTAAAAAATAAGTTTCTTTTGCTTTCAAGTAAAAAACTAAGTTCCTTTTTTTTGCTTTCACTTAAAAAATAAGCTTTTTTTTTTTTTTTTTATATTTATGTTATGTAAAACTAGAAAAAAAAAAACACTGGCCTTACCCTTGTTCGGTTCTTGTTTGATTTTATGTTTTCCCTACTTTGTTATAATAGATTTCACAAAAATTAGTTGTGTTATATTGTCTACAATGAAAGCATTTTTTGTTCATTATTTTCTGGTAGTGGCTTAGTCCTTTCTTACTAAAATTTATAAAATAAAGCAAAGCATAAGGGCTTTGAAATTCATTGGTTAAAAGGCTACTACATTTATAACAATTCCATGAATAACATTAGCATGTTTACCAAAGACTTCTATGCGTAGATGGATACTGTAACAACCCAAAAATCATGATCAAAAATTTCATTTTAAATCATTATTAAAAGTCATACTTATCAACCATTTCATTCATAAACAAAACTGTTATAACAAATTAGAGTATAATCTTAACCATATTCTTTTTATATTAGAGTAAACATCACAGGCTAAACAAACAATGGTGTGTGCCATGAAATCACCCCAAGCTCCTCCCTCTGCTACCGGAAGTACTTGAAATCAAAACTAAAAACCGTAAGCACAAAGCTTAGTGAGTTCCCCAACCTACCACATACCACATACATAACCACATACTGGGCCCCCGCCCGATGCATCGGGACTTGCCCGGCATCGGACTAACTCCAGTATCGGGCCTTGCCTGGCATCAGGCCCCGCTTGGCATCGAGCCCCGATTGATATACGGATCTGCTTCTCTTAGGCCCCACCTGTTTCTGGGCCTCGTCCGCTAAACACATACAAACATATAACATAACACATAACAAGTAGCTAATATACTCTACTATACTCCTGATCTAAGGCCTCGCCTAACTAGGGCCTTTCCCCTGTCCTGCTACTGACGAGTCATGGAACCCCGTCCACACTCCTGCTGATAGTGAGATACGGGCCCCCGCCCACACTTTCCTCTCTCCTATCTCGGGCCTCTCCCCTGCTCTACTACTAATGCGATACGGAACCCCGTACATACTCTGCTAGTGGTGGGATACGGGACCTCGTCCATACTCACCTCCCTACGAGGCACATACGAGTATCACACAGACAACAATTGTAAACTCTCATACAAACATTCCTTGAGAACCCGTCCAACATCAGACCTTGATCCGGAATCACATACTAGTATACAGTGCCTAGGGTTAAACCCTGGGTTTTCCTACTCATAAACTACATGGGTCGGCATTGTAGCCTTAGACCCATTCATATAGTGAGGAGACTCACCTCACACTGATGAACCCTGCTGATACTCCTATGTCTGCTAACTGGCAAATTCCTGAACCGCTGACCCTTCGGCTTCCCGAACTACCAATACCAAACATCACTTAATCCAATACAATAATCCCTCATAGGGTAACAGGACTATTCTACCCCTAGTCCAACTTGGTCCATATCTAAGGCCCAAAAAAAGGCCCAATACTAGGTAAGCTTCCCAAGCCCACTAGTGGCCCACTAATGGCCCAATTTGCTAAATCGGGCACAATCCCTCTAATGGGACTTACCATAAGCCTAAACATTTCCCTGGCCCATATTATATGACTTCTGTTGGCCCACTAAGGCCTAAAATCCAAAGCATGGCCCAAACCGAGGCCCAATAACAAGAAGCTCAAACTGACAAAGTATGTGGGGCGTACACTCACGTACGTTAAGCGTACAATGTAAGTGGTGAGTACATTGGGCGTACCTGCACGTACGCTCAGTCTAACCCCCCTCCCCTATTAAGCCCTTTTCTCATTAAGTGCTTAATACTCCACTTCAGAAGCCACAAATTACAGATCCTGGTCCTTTTCCACATCTTAAACTATAAAGTCACTGACTTGGTGACTTCACTTGACCCAAACAAGCCCAAACTCCCAAAATGACATTCTTCTTCCATAAAGAGGGATAGATCTCATGCATGAACTCATTAAGATGTTCAAGATGGAGACTTTACTGCTTATGGGACCTTTTTAGCTCTGAGGGTGACAACCCTATGCTCAAACTCTAGGTTTCATCATAAAGGTCCATTCTTTGGACCTAAAAAGGTCCAAAGCTACATAAAACTAGATCTAAACTTCTATGAGGAAAGTTGGAAGCTTTATACCTTCTGGGGTTTGTAAATAAGTTGCAAAACTTGGATCCAAAAGCTCTTCCTTGATCAATGAGACTCCAAGATGATCACTCTTCTCCAAAAGCGCTAAAATGCACTCAAAATGGCCTTACAAGCTCCAAGAACACTCAAGAGGGTTTAGGGTTTCGTATCAGCTCTTTAGGGTGAAATGGAGGTTAAATCTTCAGGGTATATGTAACACCCATAAAATTCCAGCCAATTTAAAACTTTTTAAATCATTTGAAACCATTCAATTATTACAATTTGTTTTCAAAATAGTTTATACATCAGAGTTCCTAAAAATCATAATCGTCAATTGAGGAAGTGTACGGTCATGCCTTAGCCTACCCGCGGCCATCCCCTGAACCTGAAACAATAAACTGAAACTCTAAGACCGAGAGCTTTGTGAGTTACCCCCAAAATACCAACCTCATATAACCATAATCATATCATTTCAACAAATACAGAACAACGATGCATCTCAAGTCTACAGTGTGACTAGTCCGCCCGCACCGGGCCTTCAGTCCACCTGGTCCACTCTTTGAGTCTACAGTATGATTAGACCGCCCGCACCAGGCCTTCAGTCTATCTGGCCCACTCTCCGAGCCTTCGGCACATCTGGACTGCTCTCTCGGGGCCTTCAACCTATCCGGACCGCTCGTCGGGCCTTCAGTCTGACTAGGTGCCCTCCTGGGCCTGCAGTCTATCCGTTCCGCCCTGGGTATGTTGGCCTACAACACGAAGCAGGACCCACCCGAAACCAAACCCCAAACAAACAACCATGTGCACATATAATAGATAATCACATAACAGTCCATTGATGAACAAACCGATCTAGCAGATCATATAGCATAATAACATCCTAACCAAGATACCAACCTAACTGGTCACTAACATAGCATCATCCTATATACCAGGATACTGACCTAAACCATATCACTAACATAATATCGTCCTAATTTACCAGGATGCCGCGGATCTAACAGATCAAAAAGCATATCAAACAAATACAAGTATACAATCCAAGAAAGGGTTGTCCTTGATGCCTTAGACTTTGTTGATATAGTGAGGATAACTCACCTTGCAAATGTGAGACTGAACCATGAAATCACGCTCCCGAAACACTACCCACACTCCAACACCTCACTACTAGAAACACAACCTTTTACGACGCGCAATGCATGTCGTAAAACGCTCAGACGACGCGCAAATGTGCGTCAAGGAAGGCACTGTCATAACGAGAGACGACACACTTTTGCGCGTCGTCTATAGACGATGCACATTTATGACACGTAATGCGTATCATTAAAACCCCTGTCAAGAAAGGCCATGTCATAAATGAAGATGACACACATTTTTAGGTATCGTAAATTTTAATGTTTAAAGAAATATATTTGTATATTTATTAATTATTAAATTAAATTTGCATTTAATGTGTCATAATAGAAATAAAATAACATATACAAAAAATACAACCCATTACATAAAATTTAGTGTCATACAATTCTATTTCTTACAATATATAAATTTGCATTCATCTAATCTACTATGTGTTTCATAGTAACAATTGAAATGAAAAATGCAACACTTGCATTTGCAGCATCTTATCTCTTTCAGTTTGAGCTTTCTTTTCCTCTTCTAACTCCAGAGCTATTTGCTTTCCTTCCTATAAACACAACACAAAATCACTTGTGATTTTCATCCTACTTTTAAAATTGATTCTTATTAGGACATTCTACTTTTAAACCTACCAATCCAGCAAATTTTTCGAAGAATATAATTTATAATTTTTTTTATCGAAAGTACATTACTATTTCTTGAATACAAGATGTTAGAAATCAAGAAACTTACATGGACTATTGACCACCAGTTTTCTGCATCAAATTAAAACTATTTCACATCAAATTAAAACTGATTTTAATAAATTATAAGAATATATTAAACCTGGTCCATCTGGGCTGTGGGATTTTCTATATATTCCAAGATCAATTCCCTATCTACAAGGACCAAACCAAACCTGAGCATTTGCATCCACTCTCTCGTTGCCATCTAACATAGAGCATGCCTTAAGTGATGTTTCTGCTCCAATCTCATACATATAATTGGCTACTTCTATGCAAGTTTTTAACCCACAAAGTAAGTTTCTGGTTATCAGGCAGCTACAAACCCATCAGGATCAGGTTACACAACCTCAAACAACAAACAATAATCTACTCATTTATGCTTCACAAACAATAATCATGTACCAGTTTCTCCCAAAAATATCTAATCCCTTCACATATAGTTCTTTATCAAGAGGTTTCCATTCACAATTTACTACTGGATTTGACAAATTAACAACCTTTTCTGTTTTTAAGGCAAGATTCTTCTTGCTCATTAGTCACATCTTTTAATTCTTCTAACATTGTGGTTGTTTGTTTTGATACCTTGCGTATCCTTGTATTGTCATCATACATAGATTAAACCATCATACCAACTACCAACACATACAAGTTCACATGTAATTAAAACACTTGACAAAACAATCCTCTTTCCCCCTCAAAAAGGTAGCAATGAGAACCAAATTTATTTAAAAAAAAAGGAGAAAAAAATGAGAGAGAGAAAGAGAGAGACTACTTGCATCTACCCTCTAAAAATGTTCTTTGTGTAATCATCACCTGGATTAGCACCAATCTGGATCTTCTGATCTGAGGATCTGTTGTGTGTCTCGCTTAAGACATCCATACAATCTAAATGCTTCTTCTCAGTTTGAAACTGTAATAATTGAGATACAATTTCATTTTGAGGGGATAGATAAAGAAATACATACAAATATGAATGACTGTTAATTTATCAATAATAAAACGGGATAGTTCTCTTCAGCAAAAAGATAGAGCCTTTGATGGATCCTAGTGAATCAGTTACTAGGGAATGTGAAATGTAGGTTGGATTGGTAATCTTGAAGGTAATAGTGATCACCCAGACGATAAATGCCTTGTCCTTCTAGAAGTATCAAACCATGCTGATTAAAATGGACTTCCTACAACAAAAAGAATTATTATAGTTTTTGTTTTTTCAAGACTATTGAGTTAAATAAACACATTTTAATAAGTAATGTAATGATATACTTTTACATTAAGAAATTCGCGAGGTTGGAAGTCCATGATCTGCATGACTACAAATTTCAGAATTCAGAATACGCATTTTAATATTTTCTTATTAGTCAAACACATCAAAACTATAAAGTACAATATTTTTAAAAGATAAACTATAGATTACATGAATGTTGAAGTCATAAGGCAGAGATGTAGGAAGAAGCTTCCTCAGTTGGAATACCTAATATGGAAACAGTAAAAAAAAAAGTAAAATAATAGTAAAAAACTGTACTCTTATTCTAGGCTGATTCTTAAAAAAGTACATACATCTCCAGGGGCATCAAGAAGTGGTTGCTGATTGGTGGAGCCAACAATTGGCTCGGGAATATGGTTTTCTAGGTCAGCATACCTACACAAAAGTTAAATTACTTTTTAGCCCTTGTGGTTTATTGATAACACACACACACAGATGCATGATGAAATAAAGAGAAGGAATATCATACCTTCTTTCAAATACAGTAAGCGTAGAAGATTCATAACTCCTAAAGTGATGCTTTGAGTTTGGAGGTAGGTAAGCATATGATTATACCTACAGTTCAATGACAAATATTAACCGTTGAGGAATACATTTACTTGAATGAAACATTTTCCCTCTTCTTTATAACAATGTCTTTCAGGAATGATATTCAACTTCAAAATTTGGCACAAAACATGTAACTTTAATGCTCTTATAAATCTTACTACACAAAAGAAAATTCATGATTAAAGGGTTGTTTACCATCAGTGTTTGGCAAATTCCTGAAACATTAGTGAGAATCACCAAACCTTGAACCACAAATACAAACCAAAATGATAAACATAAATTAAACACAACTCGATTCACAAACTTGACTTGATTATCAATTGAGGGGGTCATTAATACCTCTCAACATGTTTAGGAGGTAGCCCTGATTTTGAACTTTCTACACAGATGAAACCAATCATTTTGATGATAAGGAACTCCTTCATCATTTGGCTTTACAAAATTAATTATCAAAAAGTAAAATATAAATGCACCTTTCATATTTACAATATACATAACAAAATGAGATCCCATTGCTGGCAAGACTAAATAGGCCTCGATCACTTCAATTGTATTCCATGACACTGGAAAGGAATTTCAATCCCCTCCTAAAAGAAGAAATTCCTTGCATCAGGTCAAATGGATTAATTTGGTTTAACGTAGTATACCCACTATATGGTTCTGTTTAACACAATAGAAACGAATCAAAATACATTACATCACATTATTTCAATTTCTTATCAAAAAAGAACACAAGGTTCAAAAGGTTCTCATAGATTTATCTAACCAAATCATTTTATTACATTATTCATAAAACACACTACAATGATGACATGTGAACACGTACTGGGTAATAATTTCTTGTGACTGGTTCATTCACTTGCAACTCCCAATCTGTTCTGAAATCATGAACCAGTAAAATAGTAAATTTTATCATGTGAGACACAAGTACAGAAAACAACCATCTATAAAGTATATACCTTTTTAATGAAGTCTTTCCTGTTAGAATCCGTATAGAATGTTTTGTTTGTCTTCAAGGAACTTGTGATCTAAGCTGTTATTTCTTTCCCAACACCATCATCTATAGGGATAGGTCCAATCTGATAGTACCAAAAATAAGATATGTAATTAGAGAATACACATACACACACAGACACACACATTCTAGTGAAGTGTCAATAGGAAACTACTACAACTACATTAAATCAAAAGGGAATAAAATTCTTACAATAAACACAACTCCAACATGTTCCTTCTCCTTGTATACACGGGTGAACTCATATATCTAGGAGTTGAACTAGTCAAGTCACAAATAAACTCTTTTTTACCCCTCAAATTAACCAAAACTCTCTCTCACCCATTCTGTGAGGCATTGTTGGTCCTTAGGTCAGTTAATATCCACTGCTTTTCGCCCAGAAACAAGCTCCAAGAGTACTACACCGAAGGAATATACATCAGCCTTTTCAGTCACCTCCCCACTTTCTGCATACTCTGGAGCTAAATATCTAAGTAATGCCAAATATTCAGTTTTCTTATTCACAATAGGCTAATTCCACAACTAAATGCAATGCTTTCGGGAAGATTTAAAAAATTAGACCAACTTTATAAATTATTGATTCATAAATCACAATATTATGGAAATAACATAAGGGAAACAAGAAGGCTTGCTTACCCGAATGTTTCAATTACTTTTGTACGTTGCCTTAAGTAAGAAATGTAAGAAATGGAAAAAAAGCGGCGAGAGACATACCTTCTTTGAGAAGTGAGAGATCCAATGACAATATTGTATTCAGACACATTGTTGGCGTAGTTTCTCTTGGCATAATTGTCAGCATAAATGGCAAACTGACAACATCCAAGTGCTGCGAGCAGTGGTTGGTGATTGGCTAATGAACCAACAACAGTGAAAATGAATGCCATTGGCTAATAAAAGCCCTAGTTCATGGGTGCGCACTTGTGAGGTCCAGAGCATAAAAAGTAAAAAACCTATTCTTCATTGATATAGGGGACAAGAAAAGCCTTAAAATCGCAGGTGTTTCGAGTTTGAGGAGTCGTAGACCCCAATCGCCGACTCCGTGAAAGATATTGTGAGGTTCGATTTTTGGGGAAGGCGGGGGTACTTGAACTTTTTGGGGATTTGGTTTCCCCCCCTTAGTTTCATGAAAGAGGGACGCACGTATTAAAATTTTATAAAACGACAACTCTACAAGATACCCACTTAAATTTATGTGCTTTCCGTGTTTTTAATTTTTTTTCCGTTGGACATTAATTATAAGGCTCGCACAAATGCGTGTCCTCTATCCTTCAAATTTTTCAAAACTGACATTATTTTTTAGAGCACGTATAAATGCACGTCGTGTATTAGCGCGTGTCATTGTTTGCGCGTCATTAAACGGCTGTTTTCTAGTAGTGCCTATAACCAACACAAATCCGATTCATAAATACCTGCTTACCAATTATCCTCAAAATTCAAAACGGTCAACCCTTGGTAAAAGTCAAAGTCAACTATCAAGGTCAACATTCCACGTTGACCTCAACTCATCGAGTACCCTCACCTACTCGCCGAGTGCCTTGCATATCCTTCCAACTCACCGAGTCACCATTCCACTCGCTGAGCCCAAGGCCATCTTCATCAGACTCACCGAGTTGTTCATCCAACTCGTCGAGTTCATGACCATCTTTATATGACTCGCCGAGTCCCTTCAGTCCTTCATCCATACGGATGCCTTTTAAGCCATGCAAAGGCTCCATACTACAGATCCAAGTTCCCAAGGCATTCTTATCACGTAAAGTTGCAAACTTTACGTGCATGCAAGGCTCTAATGACTCAAAATGCCAAAACCAAGCTTGAAAAGGGGTTTTACACTTAAGGAGGGGTTCATACTTGCCAAAGCTGATAACTTTATGGATTTAGCGACTAAGGAGAGTTCAGATCTGAAGTTACAACTTCAGATCCAAGCTCGTACCCAAAAATAGCTTCACAATATGCTAGAAAAGCCCAAAAGTTTAACCAAATTAGATCTACAATGAAATGAGGTCAAGGTAACGACTTGATACTTTCCAAAAGATGCCATCTGAGGTAGATATCAAATCCAAACATGTCCTTTGCTCCTAGTCACTTGCTCTTCAAGTTCTTCTTACAAAGATACACCTTTTAAAGCTTTAAAACACACAAATGGAGCACACTCACACGAATTAGGGTTTCTGGACTCTCAAGAGGATGCAAAGGAACTAAGGGATGCTAATGATCCCTTAAATTGGGTGCCAAACCCGGGAAATTAGGGTTTCTGTAACGACCCAATTTTTTTCATCCGAAATTTTCATTTTTAAAATATTACTTTAGAAAACATTAATAAATAAAAACATTGTTTGATCACACCATAACACATCGTAACCATGTTCTAATAAGTCAAACCGTACATCCCATCAAAATATCAGAGTACAATCCCAGTAAATCTCGTAAATGCGGAAACCGAAGAGTGTGTGTATGACGTGCCGCTACCGCGCCGGCTCCTTCCCCTTCGATGCAGAGGTACCTGAAAACAAAACTGTAAACGTAAGCACAAAGCTTAGTGAGTTCCCCCAACATACCACATACCACACAAACACATAACATACGTACTGCCAGGCTATTCTGGGGTGCCTGACTACCCGGTACGGCCATTCTGGGGTGCCGACCTACCCATACGGCCATTCTGGGGTGCCGTCTTACCCGTGTCAAGCCATTCTGGGGTGCTGACTACCCATGTCAAGCCATTCTGGGGTGCTGACTACCCATCGGTCCTAACAACCGATCCTCGGGGACTGGTCCCCTCCCGCTACCTCTATCGCATAACATAACAGACCAACATACAAGCATACCATCACATACAGTCAGATAATTCTGGGGTGTCTGACTACCCAGCGGTCCTAACAACCGAACTCTACTACTATTGCATACAACGTATCATGATAGCATATAACATAACAGGTAAATAGCAAACCTAGATGATTTCACAAAGACAATCATCTATCATACGTCTCCTACTGGTGGGTCGGCATTGTGGCCTTAGACCCACCGCTACTGGAAGGTAACTCACCTCAAAGTAGCTGCTGAACTGATCGGGAACTGACTGACTGCTGCTGCTCCGGGAGTCCTCCGGCTGCAATTCCCACAACATACTCAATCAAACACTGCTAACTGTCCTTTAGGTAAAATGACCATTTTACCCCCGGTCTAGCTCTAAGCCAATGCTAGAGTCAACTTTCAGTTGACCCGACTCGCCGAGTGGATCTCCACTCGCCGAGTCCCTAGCAAACTATTGTCCTGGGTCCCTGGTTCTACTCGTCGAGTTGGGCTATGACTCGACGAGTTCATCTTCTAACTGTCATTCAACTCCTTCATCCTACTCGCCGAGTTGTATGAACAACTCGTCGAGTTCATCTTCATCCGAAGAACATTTTATGCTAAGACTCACCGAGTTGTATGAACAACTCGCCGAGTCTGTTCTTGATCTATGAAGATTGCCTTGGACTCGCCGAGTCAGGGCATTGACTTGCCGAGTCCTAACATGGGTGAGTTCAGCTCCCAACTCACCGAGTCACCCCCTGTGACTCGTGGCTCAACTCGATACATCATAAGGGACCAAATCGGTGACTCGCGACCAGACTCGCCGAGTCGCCAATACGACTCGCCGAGTCGCCGCCATGCATCCACCAAATACACCGATTTACTCGATTCCAGTCCATGCCTTTCATAGATCTGGACTTCTAGGACACAAATCACACGTAAAGTTTCCAACTTTACGTGTGGATATTCACTAATGTGGATTTTAGGGTGCAAAATGCCTCAAAAGGGTAGATCTAGGATGAACAAGCCACATGGGGCCATAAAGCTAACAGATCTGAGCTCCTGGAGCTCAATCTTGCCTAGATCTAAAGGTTAATCCACTTATTACGAAACATTAAGCACAAACAAGCTTGAAGAATTGCTCAAGAGTGTCTCAAATGGAATCTTAAGCATAGAAACAGGGGAAAAACGAGATATACCTCAAGGGAAATGTTGAAATGACACAAAGATGGCTGATCTCCTTCTCCTCTTCTTGATCTACTCCTCTTTCTCCTCAAAACCTTCAAGAACACACCAAGAACACTTCAATCTCTCTAGGAAATAAGGGAAAACGATGTTGGGGAGTTCTGGGGGTGAATGGGGACGAGTTGGGGCGGAATGAGGGTTTAAATAGGGTGCAAACCCTTGAAACTTAGGGTTTCATCCAGCAGCGGTGACTCGCCGAGTCCAGGATATGGACTCGCCGAGTCGCCCACTTAAAACGTGTCCTGAGTCTCGTCCCTACTCGGCGAGTCGGACCTTATGACTCGCCTAGTCCAAGGCTAAAATAGGGCAATGCTCAAATAAAATTCACATACCGGAAACTAGGTGCTACAGTTTCACCTTCCAGCTCCAACTCGT